AAAGATGGATTCCAGTTCAGGTGACATGATCGCATGTCACTTTAAGACTTCATTACCCACTTGCCAGCCCACAAGTATACAGGAAAACTTACAAGTAAAACAGATTTCAGAGGAACAGCCGTGTTAGTCTGTATTCGCAAAAAGAAAAGGAGTACTTGTGGCACCTTAGAGACTAACCAATTTATTTGAGCATGAGCTTTCGTGAGCTACAGCTCACTTCATCAGAGCCATCTACAGGTAATTGTCCTGGTTAATGGGAGCCATTAAGATTCCAAACCACCATTAATGGCCCACACTTTGCATAACTACAATAGGACCTCAGAGTTATATTTCATATTTCTAGTTTCAGATACAAGATTGATACATTTATAGGATGACCACACTCAGTAGATTATAAGCTTTGTAATGATACCTTACAAGAGACCTTTTGCATGAAGCATATTCCAGTTACATTATATTCACACTTATTAGCATATTTTTATAAAATCATATAGAATGCAACGTCACAATGGGGAGGGGATTAAATACAGTTTTTCTTTTGCCTAAACAGACAAGTTAGAAGTCTTATCTATACACTGTCTCACAAACAATAGTTTTACATACAATAGCTGCTCAGAATGTTATTGACATTTGGAAAATACCATTCAAATAAATACTGTTTAAATTTAGATTTAAAATTCTTTTTCAAACTGATCATTTTCTTTCTAGGGAAATATTTTTGTATTTAGTCAAGAGCCCAAATGAGTAGTTTTTGTCTGCATTTTTGAGTAATTATTTTAATGTAAAAGTATCTTTCCTGCATACTGGATCCTTAAGAGGATTTGTTCTTGGGTTTTACTTTCTACACAGGGATTAGTTAACTAGTAACTGACTAAGGATATTAATTTCTTTAGTTGTAACAATGAGTGCATTTAAGTATGAATGTAATATAATATACATGCACACAAACGCAGGTATGTATATTATCTGCCATTATTGGAAAGGTTTAAAATAAACAAAAAAGTTGTTTTGTACAGGGCAAAAAATGGTGCCATAGACTTTATGTCAAGGTCATTTCCTTTAAGCACCAGTACAAACTACTTTGTGATTTATGGGAAGTGCTTGTACTAGTGGTCAGAGATCTCAGGACATCCTGATGGAAATTTCCCTGAGCAGTTCTAATAGTCATCTCCTATCTCTCAGCTTCTTGGTGGGAATTTCTCGGAGCAGATGTATATTTCCCTTCGGAAGTTACATCCTCAAAACTCTGACCAATTGGCAGTCGTGAACATTTTTGAAAATTGTAATAACAAACGCAAAATATTTACCTTTTCCTGAAAGAACTGCAGTTTGCACATAAAGAAAAGGAGTACTTGTGGCACCTTAGAGACTAACCAGTTTATTTGAGCATGAGCTTTCGTGAGCTACAGCTCACTTCATCGGATGCATACTTGCATAATGACTTAGCACATATTGCTCTTTTGAATAGTAATGATTAGTACTTTGGGCTTGTTTTTGCTGTTAGTTTTGTGGAAAGATCAGAAACAGCTGAGTCTGGTGTTAAGCTGGGTTGGGAATTATTTATCGCAGATTCACTTATTTTTTTATTTTGTAAGCAACTACTGAAGTGCCAATGAATCACTGAGCAAAAAGATCATCAACAAGTGGGGCAGATGTTTAAAAACTCTGCTACATGGAGGTCCAAACCTTTCTATTATTTTTCCCAAGAAATCTCCAACTCCTTCTCCTGTCACTCTGTCTTTTCCATGCCACCCACAACACGGTCCCACAAAAAATATCCCCTACTGTGGGGATCTACCCTCCAGAGCCAGATATCACCCCAACTAAGCATTGGCCAGGAGAGTTGGGTGAAGCAGAGGAGTTCCTAGAGAGCATGAAATGGCCATCCCCAGCTATTGTAGGTCTGTGCAGAACTGCAAGTCTCCACCATGTCCAGGTGCTAGGGAATGAGCTCACAACCAAACTCATCCCTTCATATAGCCAGTCTCCTTATTTGTTAGTGCCAGTGTATAATACCAGCAAGCATATTAGTCAATCCTGTGTCCCAGTTTAAAAGGTTAAATTCTTAAATTATTTCATAACCCAGAGGATCATACACAAATTTTGTATTTCTTAGTGTCTCATTTGAGCATCTCAAAGCACTTTGCCAACATTAATTAATTAGCCTCACAGCACCCCTGTAAGGTCATTTAGCATGACGACTATTTTACAGGTTACATTATTTATCGAAGGTCATGCAGCATAGAACCCAAGACTCCTGAATTCCAGTCTCGTGCTCTAACCATTAGGCTTCTCTCTTATCCAGACTCAGCTGTGACCTGTTGTGACCATATTTTGATCTGCAAGGTCTTACCTTCTCACACCCAATGACAGAACACAAAAAATAGCCACTCATGATAGCAGCTCACAGCTCTAGTATCATGAGGTTGATAGGTTGGGTATTATACTCAGCATTGGTATTACAGGGCTGTTTCTGATCCATGTAAACTCTGCAGAAGGAACAGATTTATTGACTTCCCTCTGGTGTCAGGCTTGTTCGCAGGCAGTTCTACCATTTGCTTTGCACACGGTGAATGGTGAAGTGCGTGGATCTGCTGCTATTCTTGTGCCACTGGATCAGTGTAGCATTAGTCTGGAATGAAGAGACAGACTGGAGTCACTGCTGTTTATTAGCGAGAGCAGCGTTCACCACGCTGGGCCAAATTCTGCCCTCATTAATGCCCTGTTGAAGTGAATAAGAGTTACATGGGATGCAAGGGCTGAAGCTGGTCCTTTGTCTTCACGGTAGTAGATACACATTTTCTTTATCACTCGTGTCATTTGCGAATTTACAGTCCAACTCTACCTTACTCAGGACCTAAATGAGTTATATTTGTTTTGCCAAGTCAGGCTTTTGCTGTGCAGAGGCAATGATGAGAAATTGTAGCATATGAAGACATAGTACTGAGGCAATTTACTGTGCATATCTTATTCTGCTGCAGTCCCATAAAAAAACACAGCTAACAGTAAAACTAAAGGACACACGGCACCGTATGGTCCTTTTATAGTGTTACTCATTATCAGAATTCTCAAATCTACATCTCATTGTCGGTGGATGACAACACAGTACCTTGCCTATATTTGTAATGTACCAAGAACACTGGGACTGCTTACTGCTATCCTTGAAGGAAATGATGACACTCCCTCCACACTGTGTAATCTAAAATCTGTTGCTGGATTTGAAAAGCTGGCGGAATTATCTTCCTGCATTTCATCAACCTCTTGGTTTAGTCAATTTAATTTAAATTGAAGACAGACTTTTATTTAGTCCCAACATTTTGACTTGAAGTTTGCCCATCTTAACAGTTCTGACTATTGTAGCATTTATAAAATGCTGGGATGCAAATGGCCTGACCAGGGATTTAAAAATCAGAACTAAACCTTTATCTTTTTTATTAAGAATGGCTTATTAAAATTCATCCTCACAGCTAGCCGGACTTCCACAGCTACGCATGGAACGCTGGCCACAGTACACACGACAGGGTTAAAGACTTCGTGGGAGGGGAGAAGCATGCTGCTAAAAACACATAGAATATTGAGCCTAGAATTGTAAAGTTAAGGTTCTTGTAGTGTTATTAACTCAGCTATATTGTCAATGTGTATTTTCTATTCCTGTCGCTGGTAAACGTTTAGCTAAATGTATTAATTTTATTGTAAAATGTGTACTGGAAAGCGTACAGGTTATTAAAGGTGGCTAACTTAATACTATCTTCCTCCCTTTCATGCTTCTCCCATTCTTCCTCCAGTTTTCCCTTTCAACTAACTCAAGCAGAGGGAAGCCTTTTCCACTTGCACCACATTTTCCTCTCATTTGCACCATTGTAAACTAGGTGCGTCTCTATTGAAGTCAGTGGAGCGATAATGGTATAACACTGATCCAGGTGAGCAGAATTTCAGGCCTCTTATACTGGCACCAGGGTTGAGTCCCCAGACAGTGTGGATTTGCTGACTGAAATAATTGGTCTAAGTATTGTTCATCTCATTGGGTGTTTATTCTGAAGCCTAATAATGGCAGTTTAAATTGTCAGCATTAACTTTTTCTAATCATTGTACCAGAAACTTCCAGCTACTCTGGGATTGTGAGTGGAACTTGAGTAGAATTACTACCATTTCCTTCTCTCTGAGTTTGACCCTTGGAAAACAGGAGTTTCTAATGGAAGCCAATTGGTTGCTATTGCTCTCAGAAAATAACAACTCTTAATTTGATTTTGTCACTGTAAAGTTCTTTTGTCAGATTTCCCCGGGTGAGCACTATACACCAGCCAAGTTTGAACTTGGAAACTTCAGCCATGTTTTAGTAAATCCAAAAAACTGTTTAATTCTACTCACAAAACTCCAAAATTGAATTGATTCTTCTCAAACCTTCTAAAAAATGCACCTTGCAAAAGTTGTCATCAACTGAAATTCTGACAAAGCCACAACAATTCACTTTCTCTGCCACACTGAACATTGATTTCTTCAGTAGCTTTAAACACACAAACTTGAGGCATTTTTCCTGATGTGCCTGCTCCACATGCTCGTAACTTACTAAGATCACTGCCAAATTGTTAAGACACTAATTCTCAGTGAGGAGATTTTACATGAAAAGTACTATAAGCTGACAAAGGTTCAGGCATTTTTGAGTTACCAGCACTGGTCACTAGAATCAGAACTAGTGAACTTGTCCTAGTTGTAGTTATAACTCTAGTTATAACTCTAAAGCCACTCAGTGGAATTGGCTCCACTTTCTAGAAAGGCTCACCTTAGGACGGAGGTTGAGTGTGGAAATTTCAGCCATAAAAGAACATTTTTGAAAAAAGCTACAAGCATCTTGGAAACAATGGTGTAATTGGAAAATGTTTTGCAACCTTAACCTTAGCTTTTGCTCTAAAGAGATATGGGGATGGGAATGGAATAGCAGGTGACCGCAGGCTCTTTTACTAACAAATGTGTGTCCTCTGCTTTTGTTTTTTTCCCTACAGCCCTCTGCTTGCAGTGTCCTTTGCAGCCTCCTGTGCAGTTCCAGGAATCGCCCTGCTGACCCTGGGAGTAAATCCTCTCACTGGGGTGCTGGGAGCCTTCAACATTTTCCTGTACACGTGTTGTTACACACCGATGAAAAGAATGAGCATCGTCAACACGTGGGTGGGAGCTGTCGTTGGTGCCATTCCGCCTATCATGGGCTGGACTGCAGCTACCGGCAGCCTTGATGCTGGTGAGTATAAAATATAAGTCTCATATTTGGAGAGACAGGCGGAGATACAGGCAGTTGCCATTACTGCATTTGAGACAGCTGAAAATAACCACCCTGGAGACAAAGCTATTGGTTTCTCTTAAGCACGGGTAGTAGCGTAGGATGATTCAATACATATTGTAGCACAATGCTACAAAAACTGGTTTGTATTCCATTTAGTTAATAAAGACTTGTTTGTGTTGGCAAACATGCATGGCACTGTACCATATTAAGACTGAAGAAATAAACAGAGATCTTGTCATTCTGCCTTTAGAGACAAAGGACCAGTTGCAGGATGAGTTGCACAGAATATATGTTAAGACTGTCTGGGAACAAAAATCAGGATGAAGAGCACTGACACAGCATGTGGGCTGTGAATAGAACAAAATGTTATAGAAATTCAGAATAGAAACAGATCAAGTTGGGCTGACTTCAGTTGTGGAGTGAGGGGGGGCCAAAGCGTTCACAGGAAAAGTCCTGTGAGGTGTACCACTATGTCACCACATTCTAGAAACTATCCTAGAATGTTAATTTATTGGTAGAGTACTTAATTGCCTCCTTTGAGAGTTTAAAAGTTCCTTTTTTTTCCCCTCCTGAGGGTGTGGAGGTTCCTTTAAGTAACTGTGAATTATTTTTACATCACATATAAAACTGATCTGTTCACAAGCTAAACTCTGAGACAATTGGAGCTTGTTTTTCCTGCCAGCTAAGAACTTACAGCCTAAAAGTATCACTAATTTGTTATATTCAAGTGAAACTCATGTAGTTCACGTAATAGGCCCATTGAGAAATATAACAATCATTTATATAACCAGTTTAGCAGGATGATATAGATTATGGAATTGTTTAGCATGCACCCATCTCACTACTTGGCATGTTTAAGACTTTTCTTGTACTGCAATAACCAGAATTCTAAACAGAAATACTCAAAATCCATGCAAAGTCCTTATCAAACCATTCATTTTTTGTGGTAAATGTTAGTACTTCCTTTGGAAATAAGCCTGAATTGCCGCTGTATGTAATCTATTCTGATGTCGCTCTAATTCAGAACTGTGTTAAAAGTTTTTTAACTGCATGTTACTTGGCATGTTGGTTTTAATTCACTTCATCTTTTCTTAGGAGACATGATAATGAAATCTTGTGTTGTGGAATGCCTATGAGATCTTTTTAGGAAGCTCTGTGTTACTGAAGAGAAGAGAATTATTTTTAAAATGTTAAATAAGTATTTGTGCATTCGTCTTTATAATGAAAATAGACTAATGGTGGAAAACGACTTCACTGTAAGCTCAGTTCTCCAGTGTTGAACACCCTGAACTCAGCACTTGCAGGATTAGACCTCTGTAAGAGGTTTGTATGTGTGTTCACACACACATATGAGCACATGCACCCATTCTCTTAAACCCGCATAACCAAGGTCATGGAACCTGTTAATGAAGTGTAATTAGCTAGCAGACCTAACCTGTTTTTAGGTAAAGGTGTGAAAATATCTTTGCACCTTGTTAAAAACAGGATTGAATATCTGGCTGAATAACAATGAAGAATGTGTAGCAGGGCGGTCAGAACGCTAAGGAAAACGCTCACCATTTCACTGGAATTTCTTGGGTTTACATTTTATTGTGGATTTTCTCCCCTTGCAATCTGCTCAAGCACCCGTGTTCAGAGCAATCACATTATTGTACGTGTTTCTAGTTATGGCAAAGGTAGTCTTTAAGGATAGAACTTCTTTCACTTCCCCCTTTGGTAGGCAAACTTGTATAGCCATCACTGCCCTACTTTCATGTATCAGAGGACAGCAAATGTTACTGACATGGTCCGGGAAGGGCTTACTGCTGAAAGATCATGTTGTTCCTTTGCCGTAATTTAAGACACTTCCTGGATTGCGGTTCTGGAGCTGAAGGTGCAGGTTTTGAAACAGCCTTTATAACATCTAGGCTTCAGCAGAGGTAAAGAAAATAAGTCAGGTTTAGTTCCAAAAGCCCCAGATTTGACCAACCTTTTTTCTATTTCCAAAGTCCATTTAGGAATTTGTTTTTATTTTCCAAAATAAATGCACATTAAAACACCACAACTTTAAAGTCCGGTGTCTCAGCAACTTCCAAGATAAGAAGTAGGTGTTGCATTTCCCATTGGAAGTCTGGGATTCTCTTATTTCCAATAATAACAATGCCTCGCTCTTATGCCCAGATAAAATTGTTAGTCTCCAAGGTGCCACAAGCACTCCTCGTTGTTTTCACTCTTATATGCCTCTTTTCATCAGTAGATCTCAAAGTGCTTTACAAAACGCGTCCAGTGGCCTGTTGCTGCCATTTCTAGCCCTGATGGGTCTTGAGAGATCAGCACTTGAAGATGTCAATGAACATTGTCTAACCTGGAACTTGGGCCAGTGTAATTTGAGACAGAATACACATTTCAGGAGAAAGAAGGAAACATTTCTATGGAAAGTTGGTATTTTTTAATGGTGTCTATTTGAAACTGCTGGAAGATTTGGAATGTGAACATAAGTCCTAAGGGTGAGCAGAAGGCAGGTGAGGTAATCAAAGATGTATGATAAATGCCACTTACCACATGCTTCTCACCATCACATATCTGGTCTATTTATGTATAGCTTAGCTGCCAGACAGTGGTTTGCAGTGCCGCATTTGCTTCCTTGAAAGCCCCTCCTACTGTTCCTTTGTGGTGCTATTTCCTTCCAGTTAAATAAAAGGTTATTTGTTTGATTAATAAAGCCAGGTTCTGAAGTGACTTGTTTCACTTTGATGAAGGGGAGAATCACAGCAAATTTGTTTTAAATCATAAGCGTTAGGATAAGGTCAGAGGAAAGCATCGGTACAGCTTTTCTCTCTTTGTTTTAGATTCTCCTTCTGGCCGAGACCCACATTAAGCACTCCTCCTGCCCATGATACGGTTGAACTTATAGTTTGTTCAGTAGTACAGATGTCTGTAGGAAATAACATAGAGCTATTTATTTTAGCACAAAAGAGAACAGCCACATATGTGCTTTAAGTTACACTCGTGCTGCTGCTTGCCTGTTGCTAGAAGTATTCATTGTCAGTTTTGACTTATTTTTTTTCCTAATTAGCAAATATAGCAAAATAGAATTTATAGTGAATATTCCCAGCTCCAAAGGGCCACAAGCTGCCTTCAGATTTTTCATTTCAGTGAACTCCATACGCTGATGTATGTTGGCTTGATGTCAACCAACTGAAACCTCCTCAGGTTTTAGAACCCAGTAGTTCAGTGCCACAGCATTCATATAAACGACCCAGTTCAATAGACGTGACAAGCGGGGGTCTTCAGCATAATGTGCTTTATCAGTTAAAGGGATTTGTTCTGAGTAGGTGGCGGTGGCATAGCAGATAACCGTCTTGACAGCCTAGCAGACATTGCAGCCCCATGGTGGCCTGGAGCCATAGGTATTACTGCACCCAGGAATGTTTATCTCAAGAGACTATTTAGTTTATCTCAGATGCTCCACTTCTGGTCTCTCTTTCCTGAAAGACATCTTGTACTGATTTTCATTCATTTTCAGACATTTAAATAATTCCTGGGGCCATGGAATTTATAGACTGGTAATCATGTGGAGGCTGACTTTTAAATTGCCTTTACTTTGTAATTCAAATTGTGTTGTGTGGTAGACATTAATTATGTCAGCCAACATCTATTTACAAATGGGGATTTAAAAATGGACAGTTCTTATCTGCAAGTGACATTTTGCAGATGGATGGTTTTAGTAACAAAAAAGAGAAGAGAAGGAGAGAGAGGGGGCTGTTTCATGACCTGACAAAGGACCGTTTCTGATACCTTTCCCGGGATAGCCCTTGTCTGCCAGGAAGAGAGAGGTAAAGCAAAAACATAATTGTGGCTGAAATAAATATTACAGCCCTTTGCGTTTTTCTTTCTTTCACACTGTCTTTTTGACTAAACAGTTTGAATTTTTAAAAGCCTATTGACGTGGATGCAGGTCTATTGTGAGAGCTTTCGGTGCCCAGAGCAAGACTAGATTATAATGTTCCTGGGGTCTTTGCTAACAAAATCAAGTCTTTTAGGGCTTCACTTCTCTTCAGAAACAAGATGACGAAGGAGTTCTTACTCTGTTTCATGGGAAGGTAGAGAGATTAATGTCATTGACATATGAGCATAGGAAGCTGGCGGCCCAGAAGTGTGCTCGGTGTGGGTAAAAACTGAGGCAGATGGGCAGTGCTTGTAGGCAGCTGTTTTAAATTTAAGACAAAAGTCAGTGAATTATTCTGTGGTTTTTTTCGTCATGTGAGACACAAAAGAAGTGGTGATTCCACCATGGAGGCACCTTGGGGGACTGACTCAGTCTGAAAGATGAAATCAAAGTCAAATAAATTCACCGTTATCCCAATTCTATGCATCATGCACAGCTGTTACCAGCACAGTGCTTTCATCTTCCAGATGAACAATATTGAACTGTGTGGGGCAGCTGTCGTGGTGCCCCAGTCTGTGCCAGTAGGGGGCACCAAAACAGCAGCAGGATTCAGTAAAGACTCTGACTTCAATGAGCCAGCCTAGTAGCTGCAAAGGAAGGCTGAAGTGCCTTTGAGTATAACCCCATCTGTGGCTATGGAAGTTTTTAGTACTTGGCTGAAAATGTTACTTTGAGACACTTCTGCAGATACTCTCTAAACATACTTGCACCTGTAAACGCCTGAGTCATTTCAGTCACACAGTCACGTTTGAGGCAATAGACGTGATACTAAAGCTCGTTAAGATTAATCAAAAGAGCGGGTCATTGTTGTCCTTCAAAAGCAGTCTTGGACTAACTCCTTAATCAGACTGCCAGAGAATCCACAAACAATATGTCAACTGCCTCTTCCATACTACCCATGTCTTCCTCTCTAATCTGGGTCTTCCACAAAGAGCAAAGGGTCATCTTACATTCACACTGAAAGATATTTCAACTATGAGGCCTTCAGCAGCATGTGTGTGGGTCTACAGTATCATGTAAAAAATTGTGT